AGAAAGAAAGAAAGAAAGAAAGAAAGAAAGAAAGAAAGAAAGAAAGATACAGGGTAGGAGCAACCATTTCACTTTTGGGGTTAATCTTCTTGAAACGTTTAGCTGCAGTGTGGTTCATTTAGAGATATTAGGTAAGGAGATAGTGTAGAAATGAGAGCAAAAGTATCTTATTTGAAAATGAATTACATCATGGGAGATCTATCCATTATCATTTGCTTGGAAGATAGGTTTTAGCAAGTATCTTAAATTAGCATTCAGGCACTTGTTCTATATTTTTCGTGTTTTTACAGTGCTATCCCCTTGAAACTCATTAAACCTTTTTCTGTAGCAAGCTAGCCACTCATGCTTGAATAATCTAAGGGGTGAACAGAATATTATTATAAATACACAAGTGTCCATGATAAGAAGTAGCAAATTTAAACATGATTAAAAAGCAACAACAAAGCACAAATACACTCTCAAACACTTACTGCTATCGCATAAGCAGTATGCATTTTTCTTGTAAGGGATTTATTAGAACATAAGTCTTGGAATTGAGTGAAATAAATAACTCATCCTGATTAGTGGGTGAACATTAATCATCTCTGTATCACACTCTGAGAAAGAAAAAAAGAGGATTGATTTGTTATTGCTTTGTGCTTTATTTAAGCACAAGAGACTCATGCAAAATAGGCATAAAAATGCTGTACTGTGTATAAATGAGGACACATTCTAACCTGGTATTTTTTATACCTTCTTACAGGGCTGCTGAAAGCTCCAATTGAACACAGCATCTCAGCACAAATCCCTCCACTGAGAAGTCCTCAAGTTGAACTGACTGAAGTGCAACTGCGTATGGCTTATATAGGCTTAAAAAATGTAATAGGTTTAAAAGTCTGAATCTGTGTCTATGTAAATGAGACAATTCCAAGCCTTCACACTTCTTCCACATAAGGGCTGGGGAACACTGGAGTTGTTGCATCTTGCAAAGTAAACCAACATATCTCTTGTACTGTGTCTCACAAGCATGAGTGTGTCTTTCTTAGACAAGGCAGTAGGTGAGAGATAGTGGGAGATGGGTTTCTCCCTTCTCCCTATAACCAGTGTTATGTAAAGATCACACTTGTCCTACTCTTGGACAGCAAAAGCAGGGTTTTATTTTCCCACCTGTATTGTGCCAAGGTCAGCATCAGCAATCAAGACACTCCCCAGGGGAGAAGAGGTGTGGGCTGCAGCTGCTGTGCAGTGCCAAGGGACTGATTTTTTTTTAGTTATTTTTTATTTAAGCAAAACCAGGCTTCTTGAAGCAACAGCACTCTTCCTATATCTTTACTTTCTGTAGGCAACCACAACAAAAATGGCTCCAACAGGAAGAAGCCAAAAGGAAATAATGAGTAGAAAAGTATGTCTCAATTCCCTTTCCTTCCCTGTTTCTGGAACGCCTAAGTTGGGTGCCTAAACCCAAATCAAGGCCATGGTCCTATGCTGCCATTTTTTTTTTTTGACCATCAAATCCTGCCTTCAAAATGAACGTGTGCAAAAGTTCTCTCAAGTAACTGCACAGTCTACCTAGTGCCTCTGAGAATAGTGTAGGTATCCTACGTACCTGGTGTCATCAGTCCCCATACTGAGCGTATGTGATTGTATAGTTTATGGGCACTCAGGGTTTTCTTTGATGGCTCTCCAGAGCAGAGATGCAGAAATTCTGCCTAAACATTTATTTGGATGCATATTTAAATGCCTTCTTAGACATAATCTCTCCTGTTTGAGTTTGGCTGATGAGCAGTGCCTGATTTGTTTTAGTTTGTGATGGTTGTAAATTGGGAAAAAAATAATTATGCCAAGTGGAGTTATATTTGTATAACACTACATTATTTCATATTTTACATTACCCTCGTGTAATGTGTTTCTAATGCATGCTGCCTAACTCATAAGGTTACTGAGTAAATAAATTCAAAATTGTTTACAGGTTGGTTATGATCTCCAAATGGGAACCATTCACAATAGAAAGTTACTGTCTGAGAGGATGTTGACATTCAAAATTCAGCTGACAATATTCCAGCGTGTCAGGCAATTTTGAATATATGGAAAGTTTTCAGAGGCATATTCACACCTTTGCATTTTTCTCCGCACTCAGTGGTGACCATACACAATACATCAAATACTGAAGCTCCAGAAGGGAAATTGACTATGTAAATTTATAAAGAAGAAAACAGTTTGGATTTGAATATAAAATGTTCAAAAGAATAGCGCATATACTAGTTTGATGAAAATGAATTGGTCTTTGGACCCTTAGAGTACAAGGAAATAATATCAAAAGCGATCTCTTTTGGAAGATAATACCCAAAAGATTAGGGTAGCTGGGGGGAAAAAAAAAAAAAGGAAGAATAAGACAGATTCTGTATGACTGAATGGGTGAACTTTGATCAAGGACAATTGTGTTGTGTGGATTCTGTCTGTAGCTTCCAATATGTAAGGAGAATGGAAAGTGGAATCGGCATCTCTTTTATTCGCTGGTAAGTTTGTGACAGAGAATGAAATGTCACGTTTGGACAGCTTGTTACACTGAGGTTATACTAGAGTCTGATTTTTATTTTCTTAATTGTAGTGTGACACTGGCTAATCCTTATGGTATAGAAGCACCCTGAGAGAAACCATAATCTGCTGGCAGGTATCTGTGAAGACAAGTAACAGTTGAGTAATCTTTCCTTTGGCTAAGATGCAAATAAGGTATTAAGAAAGCTAATGCTTGTGATTTTTCCACTTCTTTGTATGCCATATATTTGAAGCCTTCTATTTCCTCGTTAAAATGTGCTTTTGTAAAATGTTCATAGATCTGGAGGTAAACTTCAGATAAATGATTCTAAAAGCCTTGAAAATAATGCAAAAATATTCAGCATGTAAAGAGAAAGGATTTTGTTTTCAAATGATAGATGCTGGAATTAGGATAGAATTACTACGAGCCTTTATACTGGGGAGCAGGGCTGAAGGTATTGCCTTAGGCCTGTTCCCTGAATTGGTTTTACACGTACTGAGAAATCAGAGACAATCAATTTTTGCCTTATCAAATCCTTGATTTGATGACTGGCAATAAATCTCTTGGTTCATCTAAAGACTGTGATTTTGTCCTGATGTTTGGAACTGCTGTAACGGAACGTAAGCCTGTTACTGTCAGAAATCATTGGACAAAGTTTATGAAGAAGTATCTGTTTCTCTGATTATTCTTTCTAAAATACGGATTTAGTTATGTGAATTCATTCATATATTTCACTGTTCTTTCTGTTCAGTCAGTTTTATTACTAAAACCTAATGAAGTGTGTACAACTGGAATGATTTCCCATACCTGTGGATTCCTGCATCTGAGGACTTTAAAGGCAGGTAAAACCCAGTAACCAACTAGGCAGTGAAACCAATCTCTTGTTGTCCAATAAAAGTTAACAGATACATGCATGCTGTTAGCTTTGGAAGGAAGGAAGGAAGATAATTTTTTTCTGGTTTTCACATGGAAATGATGAACAGACTCAGAAAATATCCATAATATTTTCATCTTCTTTGTAACAAGCTCTTTCTTACAATTTAAGAAGTAGATTGAACTGATCAGGGATTGTGCAGCTCATTGAGTCCTCATTGTTCCTATGGGGTGTTAACACTGAATCTTTGATACTTGATTATGATGCAGTTAGTGAGCAGAAATTGGCAAACTTTTCTATTCATTTATTGGTGATATTTTTCCTGCCATCATTTCTGTGTTAGTGACAGAATGAGAGGAGACAGGTTTTTATCTTTGGCTTTCCAGATGTACCTGTACTTAAACTAAAAGGAAAGAAGATATTTAGTAGCAGATCATGAGTAGAAAAAAAAACTCAGCAAATACTGTTAGTGAGAAAAATGGAATCTCATGATTTTTCATTAGATTTGTTATCTGTCAAGAAAATCAGTTAATTTTTGGGGAATTCAATTTGACAGAAGATGCAATCTGGTTTTCCCAGTTGTTACAAGGCAGGACGGTTTTTTGTTGTTTTGTATTAAATACAATAGTGTTCCACAGAGGGAGAGCTATCCTTCAGTGCAGCTCTTTACAAGAAAAGAGACGTTTAAAAATGTCATTAGAATTAGCTGCATCTGAAAATGATTTCCAGCTGTTAATGAAACCACACATATCAAAGAAAAGAAGGAAAAAGAAAAGAGAAAACTTCTACTCACAGCACAAAGTGTAAAGCGTGGACATTGGTTTTGCTGGCCTAATTCCCAGAGGTCAGGAAGACAATCACTGGACTCTCATTTGTAGAGACCTTGATGCACAGGCACAACTCAAATGTGCTCTTTGGAGTTTGACAGCTGGAAGAGTGATCTGTTTTGATACAGCCCATAAGACTTGGCTTGAAAATTCTTAACACATTTCCAACCTCATATTAGATGCTGAAGCTGTTCTCCATAATGCATATCTAAATAGTGCACATTCACAAAACCTAACAATTCATATTCATTTCACAAAAGCTGAGAAAACAACCATATGTCTGAAGAATAGTCCACTACAGATCTAGACCTTCAAAGTGTCTGGGAAACTTTACTATTAAACTGCACAGTTAAAATACAAATTGTATATGTAATTTCAAATACATACACTGGATAACTGAGCAAGACCAACTGAATGTCTTTCAGATTTAAAAGTAACCCGGCTTTTCCAGCGAGCAGAAATATTGAGTATAATTCTCCTGAAGTTATTACTAATAATTAAATCCTGAAGATTCAAAATTGTGCACACTTTAAAGCACATATCTAGAAGTCAATCAACAATTTCCCTAAAAAAAAATATTTCAGCCTGCAGAGGGGCAGGCTGAAATTCCTTGCTTTAACCCTGAAAAAAACAGAACAGTATAGATGTTTTGAGTACACTTCAGGGTGCTTGAAGAATAGAGTATCAGTGAGAAGGCAAATGACCAAGTTTCAATGTCCACTTTTTAAAAATACTGATTTGGTAAAGAAATTGGTTTTTCTGCCTTTTTTCAGACCCAGAGAGCTTACATAAACATATTAGTTTATAAACATATTAGTTTTATAAACTTATTAGTTCATGGCTCTCTCTATTGCCTTTTGCCTTGTGCATCTCCTTAAGTACGGAAAGTAGCTGTAGGCTTCCATTAATTTGCTATATTTCTGTTAGACTAGCATAGAAAGCTATAGAGATTGAAAAATAATAATAAAAAAAACCCAGTATCTTGAAGTCTGGTATGCTGCCTAAGCTCTGTTATTATCTATGACTTTTGGCCTCTGGCTTTATGAAGTCTAAATTTGTACCCTGAGCATTTCTGGAATTGTATTTCCATAGGTGAAATTGTGAGCGGTACTTAAAGATGTAACAGAATGCATTTGGGTCTATGGTTTTGCTACTGGCTTACCACTAAGAGTTTTTTTGCTCCTTATAATGAATCTAGAGCCTGAATTCATGCCTATTTTCCTTATTTAGATTCTCACAGAATCCTGTGACATGCTAATTTTCAGTATGAGCTTTAGAAAAAGCTATTTCCAGAATTTATTACTGGTGTTATTTGCGGCAATCTGAGTGACTGCTGCTATTTCTTCCCAAAGTTGCTGTGAAATTTCATCCATTCTCCACCAGTTTGAGCTGCTGAAGACTGAGATCACTCAGGACATTCACAAAATTGTTTGATGTATGGCTACGGATGAACTCACATTAAAAAGACAGCACTCATTAATAAATGACAGTTATAATGAAATATGCTGTTGACTTTGCTCTCAGTCAATATAGCTGACCAATTCCAGTTTGCTTGTAAGATAATTCTGCAGATGAACTATGAG